TTTATTTAATATATATTATAGTATATAATATATATTATATAATATACTATAAGTTATATAGTATAGGCTATATGTAGTCGTGACTATATATAAATTTTTTCATTTAAAATACATTAAAATTATTTTACATATTTAATATTGATTAAAATAAAAAAATTAAAAATATATTAAAATAAAAAAAATATAAAATATAAAATAATTTATATTTCAGATTCTTCTTCTATTACTACAGATTCTTGAGTTTCAGCAGATCTATATGAAGTTCCAGAAGCTTTATACGCATTTCTGGAAGATCTAGTTGCAGGTCTATGCATAGTAGAACTCTTCTCTTGTAGATCATCTTGTGATAGTTAAGATTACCAGAAATACAACGAGATTGTAGAGTATCTGAAATGTCTCTTGGACTTTTTGAAGGTACTTTAGTAGTCATTTAAGTATTTCTTGATACTTTAGATCTCTAAATATTAAAATATTAAAATTTTATTAATATAATTTTATAATAATAATACTAGTTTTTATAATAATTTGATTTTTTAATTATATTTACACGTTCAGGTGATTACGCTTTTCTGCGCTTTCTTCCTCTGTTTCTTAGCTATAAAAAGATTAATATTAATTATTAAAAATAAATTTAAAAAAAGTATATACTTCTTTAACTTCCTCTTCTGAGCTAGTTATATCATCACTAGTTGGTAGAATAAATTGCATATTATTTTCCATTTTTTTCTATTTAGTATAAATATTAGTATTATGTATAATTTAGTATTAAATTAGAATTACTATATAATTATTTAATTATTAGAATTATTTCAAATTATTTTAAATACTTTAAAATTTTATTATTTTTTATATTTAACTAAATGCTTTATTAATTTAATTTATTATTTAAAATTTACTTACTAAATTTTTTTTAAGCCTACTTTTACTCAACTGCTCAAAAAGTATAATCTTATCATAATACTGGCTAAATATTATTTTACAAACACTAATTGCATATGCTACCTTATTATTAGGAGGAAGATCTCTAGGAAAAAGTTTTGCTAAAATTTTTTCCATATATGTTTCTGAGTTGGGATCACTTGGGTCTATTTTTGTAAAAAGCTTCCTATAACAATTTTTAGTCTTTACAGAAGCTTTCCATGTAGTGATTTCTGAAGAGAAAGAATTTGTATTGATTAAATCCAATTGGCCTATTTTAAATATAGCAAACATTGCATCTTTGATTTTAGTAGTTAAAGCACTTCTCATAGTTCTAAATTGCCTTAAAAGCTAAAAATTATTAAATTAAATAATTAAAATTTTAAATAATTGAAAATTTGATAAAATTAATTATAAATAATTTAAATATATTCAAATTATTTAGAATATTAAAATTATTCAAAAATTAAAAAAAATTTACAGGTCCTTCGATATTCTTTTTATAATAAGTTTTCCAGATCTTATCTGACATATTTTCATAAAATTCGCTATGAATTTCAAATAAATAATCTTCAGTCATCTCCATTAATTCTTCTTCAGATAGATAAATCAAAGAATTAATTAAAGTCTTAGCTGTTTTTTTTTATCGTTTGCTATTTATTAAAATTATTTTATATTATCTAGATATAATTAGTAATCTTATAAGTATTATTATAACTTAATTATTTAAAAAATACAAGAAAATACTTTAATAAAGTTAGATTTATTAACAAAATTGCAACTTTCAGAAATTTTATCTTTAATTGAATCTAATCGTCTTTCTATTCTATCAACCTTTTCAGTTAGATAATCTAACTTATTCAAAATAATAGATATTGTATTTTTAGATACTCTAATACTATCGCCTTCATGTCTAATACTTTCTCTTGCTGCAAGAACTTTGGTAATTTCTGTAGTTCTTGATTCATAGCTAGCAGTAGTAGCTGTTATACATAGAGCAGTAGCAGCTATTATATGCAGAGCAGTACCAGCGATAATACTAGCAAAAGTATTTCTAGTTTTTTGAACTCGTTTTGTGTATTTAGATATAGTTGCTTAGGATTAAAGATAATTAGAATAAATACGAATAAAATGAATGTATAAGAATTATAACGAAATTAATGAAATAAATAAAGTGCGAATAAATTATAACTAAGGTAAATTGCAAAATTATAAATATAAAAATAAGAATGAAAGTGTAATAAATGAAATAGTTTATAAACAATTAAGCAAAATTCAAATTTTTATGAATAGTTTAAAGATTTATATAAATTGAAAAAGTAATAATTTGAAGGAAGATTTGTGAATTTGAAAAAAATGTTTATGAAAAAAAGAAAATTTCACTTATTTATAATTTTTATACTTTATAATTTCTTTGAAGCTTTATTCTATATAATCAAAGTTTATTAGTATAAAATTTTAGTTTATTTAATTAATACAAGTTAATTTTAATATTTGTTATAATAGCCTTTATTTTATTTACACATACATTAAAATATACTTTTAAAGAATTTTAAATTATTCAAATATATTCACTAAAAATAAATTATCAAAAATTTACTAATAAAATTATAAACTAATACAAATAAATTAAATTCTTTTAAACTATTTCTTAAACTGTATTGGAAGCAAATTTGCACTGAATTTGACTAAAAATTTATAATTTGTCAAATTACTCAAAAAAT